ACTTCTTTGAACGTTAAAGGTTATAATGCCACAATAAGTTACTTTCACACGTAATGAATACAGACCATTGAAGTTAGCATAACTAACTAATATCTAGGAAGGCTCTAGGCTATAAAATATTACATTGAGACCAATAGGAGCTTCTCAACAGAGGAAAATGTAGACAAAACGGGGAAAATTATTCATATTTGAAGGTTACCGTTGCGTGCGCTGGGCAACACACTGGGTACAATATACTCAAAAAATATGATGGAAAGATTCGACTTTAAATGGTCCTAAAAATCTACGCGATGGTATATCTTTAGATTAACTCGGTAGAACGACGGGACGCGACCGACGTCGCGGGTAACACTTGACAGCTATCATTTATAAAGATAAGGAGGAGGTTTGGGGAAACACATTTTGATTTCCAAAATAACTATCGTACGCGGACGAAGTCGCTGACACAGCTAGGTTACTATAGCCTTATAGAACTAACCCTTTCAAAATAATAACGTATTTTGATAAATATGGTAATTAACTTTACTTTGATTATCCAAAGACAAGAGTTAAGTGGAGTAGAACATTAATCTTCTATGCTCGAAATGAGTGCAATTTGTGACTGTCGTCTTAAATCTATGCTTTGAATGGAATATTTGTTAATGTCGAACGGTGGACAACCTTTGAAAATGCTTAAAGATAGGACATAACTAATTTATGGAATTAGTTTAAAATACAAAGTCGCACACGTGAAAATATAATATTTATTAATTTAAAACACTTTTAACGGCTTCAAACGCGATATATACTTATTTGTATCGGAAGTTTTGAATGCTTTAAAGACAGATGTGATCAGGGGTCGCGTCGTTGTTAAAATAAGTTAACTAATATAATTCGCGTTTTAAACCGTCAAGTGTTGATTTTTACTCTTTGCTTAAAATGCAGATACTCTTAATATTTACTGTTTCAGTTACATGTAATTTTTATTTGAACTACGTTGAGAAAAAATTGATTTCTAGTTAAAGACAGAATTCGTTTTTTATAACTCTATCCTTATAAATTTATTTATAATTGTGTCTACATGTATTTGAGGTCGTTGTCATTGTACGTCAAACGTGAAAATCCAAATTTATTTTGCGTTTTTAAATCTTCAGGTTCCATATCAAATGTATTGTGTTCTTAAAAAGTAAATAGCATTATAGCATTAAAGTACGTTGAACTCCGGAAGGCCACATGCGTACCCGCCGACTGTCTCCGGAGACTGCGATAAATATCGCAAATAAACAATGCTGTCTCGTTTAGGACATTTTTGCAGTCTAATTTATTACACGAGTAGTGTGTGCATATTTTCATGTTCAGTGACTAAATAACTTTAAGGTTTTAAATGCGAATTAACTGGCATCGAAACGTCGGACAGTTAAAAACATAAAGGTCATAGGTGTCGAGTTTGAAACTGTTAATTATTTTGTGGCTACAGATATTTGAGAAATTTTTCGACGGACTCGTTGGTCTAGTGGTTGCTATAATTAGCTAATTATCAGGTCGTGGGTTTGTTACCAATTTATAATTTTTCTAAATCTGGAAATCTGGATATTAAAGATAATAAATAAAAGTGGCAGGAATATCGAATTTTCTTCCGGGTCACGAACCACTGTCGCTAGGCGAAAAAACCGCGATGTGTAATCGTATTACGGTTTAAGTCTGCCGATTTCCGAATATCCAAAACTAAAATGGATCAACATTACATCTTATTTAAATGTTATATGGCTGGGGTATTCTTCTATAAAATATACATCGTAACACCCGAACGCATATAGGAATATAAAAAGAAATAAATGATTTTTTTCAAACCAACAGCGTAATTTGCTGTTGAATTAATGCTTTATTTGTTTACCAATAATCGCCTTGCAACTAGGAACAGCTGCTGTTCCTAGTTTTTGGAAATATTTGTAATATAATATAAATTGAATGCATTAAACATTAAATTTTTTTTATTCATTACCATGGAAGGTGGAAAAAACTTGTTATTGCATTATGCATGAAGGCTGCACTGGCGCCATATATTATTAAATAGACTTGAACACAAAGAATTCAATTATCTCCGACTAATAATTACGCTAGTATTATAAGTCCTTATCGAGACGTGACGTCATTAAATACCGCGGACTTAAATTGATTTATAAGACGTTGTTAAATGATAAATTCATTTTAATTACTTATGTCATTACGGATGTCATCACTTTAAAAAGCGCCTTATGTTACAAAATAATTGTATTTATTTAAAAAATATTAATCGCGTTTTAAACCGTTAAAGTGATTTATTTATATGTGTACTACTCGCGTAAACTACAGCCAGTATTTAGATAAAAAGTATATGTACTATACAATGTATAAGTATATACATGAATATATAGCATCGCGGATATTTTATATATTTTTATTATTAATTAATTTTAGATAATTTAAAGAAGATTATTTATACTTATGTTTTGCGCTTCTGAGCGCACGCTGGATTTCCCCGATTTTCCTCATTTTTCCACTTTCTTCCTCTTGGTACATATAGCTTTTCTCGATTAATAGCCTATCCAAGAAAAAATATCAATTCAAACCACTGGTTCCTGAGATAATCGAACTTAAACAAAAAACTCTTCAGTTTGGAAACATTCGTATAGATATAAAAGTTTTTAAGATAACTATAATTATTTCTAGAGTAAGTACTCCCGTGTAAGTTTATGTTGTAAGTGAGGAATGGGGCAGAAATTATTTTTAAATATAAAAGCTGTAGAATAATAAATTTTAACGTTCGTACTTGTTATGACTTAAGACCACATTCAAATTATCTTAATAGCAATCTTATCGATAACAGCCCGTGAAATAAAATGGCCGTTCAGAGATCTTGGATAAATGATCGTAAGAGCTTTTGTATCCGTAAGAGTTGATTTTAATAAGTTAATTGGTACAGTTATGTTCAAAAGTGCAGTTCGGTCGTTGACGTTATTACGCGCAAAATTCACACCAAGTAAGGTGCATGCGCAGATCTCAAGGATTTCGCACATATGGCGGATGGCGTTTTTTTAGAAGTGTTTGTATTATGAGGCACGCCATACGGCCTTTAGATATTTAGTGCGAATTTTTCTTGCTTTCTTAAAGATATAAAATGCTAAGCCGAAATTCTTAGAATTAAGTTTATGTATAATTTAGTTAATAATAATAAATTCGATACATAAAATAGTTTCGCAACACAATAAATCTGATTCAATTATTTAATTAAGTTAGTAGTTAGATCGTACGACATGGTAGCTTAACTGGTTAGAGCATAAACAGTGAACGCTGTGGATGCCAGTTCCGTTCCCGTCCGTGTCGATTTTTTTTCAATCTAAATAGATTTTTTATTTATATAATGCCAATAACATGTAAACACGTTAAAGTGTTTCTAGAACCTTGCCGAGAAATAGTTAATAGGGCAGACGCACTTGTAATATGGCCCAAGATTGAACCCTGGATCTTGTGCTTAACTATTAGCATCAGTATCTTTAAAAATTATACTTTATTATTATGTTCGGAATACATAAGTACAATTACATATTTAAATAATAACACAACCACAAAGGCCAGTGAATAAGTAACTTTAATATCTCGTTTCCAACCTACTTCGACTTATCTGTTCTTCGCAAAGGTTATGAACTGAATATAACGAACGCCATCTTATTTTCCTACCCAAATAACTTAGTTAAATGTAAGTATTGATATTATTTATCAAATCTGTCTGTAAAAAGAATAAAGTTGGAAAAATGGATCAGACAGCACTTGATGGAAGTGAAAAAACCCAGCCACATTTAAAGCTACAGCACTTCTAAAAAGATCAGTTGTCGACCTGTTATGCATTTAGAAATCCGCATGCTGAAACGCGATGAAACTTAACGGCTTTTTTATCTGTGGACGGCGATGCGTGTCCCGGACTTCCATTTTCAGAATCTAACATGTTTATAAAAATATGTAAATTAATTAAAAACATGTTGGGTCCGGTGGGGATCGAAGCCACGACCCATTAATTATTATATGTACATACTTCGGTACCATTAGACCGGAGAGTCCGTCAAAGTTGATAAGAAGCGTAAGATCCCTACAATGTTTTGTTGTCTGTGTAATTCTTCAAAATGACGAGCGTACAGATAAAAGCATGGCTTGCATAAACACCAATATAACAATTGACTTTTATTAGGCGTGGCCTTATTTAAGATTATGGTGCGCAAGGTCAATTCAATTTAACTGTCAAAATGTATGATTGAGGATTTAGTAAACAGGTGGAAAATATTTCGGAGAGTCTTTCGCTTGGAAAATCTACGCATACGAACCTCTAATATAATACATCACGATGCAAACGATAGGAGCGAAGATACAGTGGGAAACGTGAAACAAACGGAAACAATATTCATCAATATAAGGGTTTGCGTTGCATACACTGCGAAAACGGTTTAAGTTACTCAAAAAATATACATGAAAGAATAATCTCTCTTTAAACGGTCTAAAAAAATATCCGCGACGGTATCTTTGTCCGGAAAGTCTATCTTTAAGATTAATATGCAGAAACGACGTCGTTGATAAGAGCTATTAAAGAGTGAAATCCAGTTTCCCCCTCGTGGGGCATGGGGCGAACGCATTTCTGAGTCCATTTCACTGATCCCCTCTTTAACGGGCAAGTAGTGGATCAGACTTCTGTGCCCTGCCTGACCGAAACAATTGTTTGTTTCCCTGGGATTCGAACCCAGAGTATAACGAATCAATGTAGACGCTAAAGCTTTATAGGTCTCTGCTACATTGTATGTTCTAAATAAAGTGGGGTTTTGGGGCCAATAAAAATGTTAAGAACATACATACAAGTAAACAATTATTTTTGTATACTAGTTGTTACCGATCATTTAACGTCACTTGCATTCGCAAGGTACGAAATAGGGAAATTTCCTACAAACCAAAAATAAAGGAATTTCCTTAGCAATATCAAAAATATAGACTTACCAAGACTACCATTTGCCATAAGTAGGGTTCTTGAAAGACGACGTCGGCGGTTTGTACAACGGATTTTCTCCCGTGCAGTCTTCAGCGCCGATGTTCTGGTACATAGGGTCATTAAGAGGCAACGCTGGGGGCCTATTTTTCCACACTATATAACCCGCTGTTGCTGCAACTGCTGCTACAATGGCTATCACCCCGAGTACTATTGGCAGCGTGACTGTTGAAGACAGAAGTGGAATTAGTAGAAAGCATTTTAAATATTTACATTTAAAGCCGTTAAAACTGTTTTATTCAATGTGTACCTATTTGTACAATATTTAATGTCCTGTTTTCCTTACAATTATTCCATACATAAATAATGTATAAAATACAGTCGTCATATTAGTTTGTCTGTGTTAATTAGTTGTTCATATCCGCTTATAAATACCAAGAAAAATAAATCCAGACCGATATATGATTATGGACTTGTGGCTCGGAAAAACAAACAGATAATCATCCTATCATAATACCACTAATGATGTTACCATTCGTGCAAGGGAGATAGATTAATAAAAAATATATAGAGTGAACAGAGACACAAATATAGTATGAAACAGCTGGTGGTCGAATATTTATATAGTGGCAGTCGGCAGACTGCAACTGTGTACACTGATTACACAACACGCTTTGTGATGTTATGAGACCATAAATGTGTATTCATACAAAAAATGTTTATAATGAACGTTATTTGACGAACATTTCGTAAAGGATATAAATTGTTGACGTGGGACTGACATTACATTTTCTTTATTATGTTGAATTATTATTAGATTTTGATATTTTTTTTTAATCTGATTACTGTCTCGTTGGTCTAGTGGATAGTAAATACGACATCAAATTACAAGTGTCTATGTAATCTGACAAGGTTATAACGCCTGGTTAGATAAATTTAGAATTTTCACTGAACACTTCTAGTATGGCCCGGAATAGGTAAGTAGGAAGAGTCAACACTTATTGGAGAAGCTTGATGAATTGATCTTAAAGCTTGCAAAGGCGAAAAAACGAGAATCTTAACAAAAGATATAAAATTCTCATTTCTTAAACGTTATTCATATTAACTTTTTGTGCTCATATTATAAAAGTGTGCTTATACTAAACGTGCTCCTCCAAAGCTGAATAAAAATCCTACGATCAAGGATTTTTGGGTGTACAATGAGACCGACGTATGGTGGTCCGCCAAATGCAATATGATCTTTGACAGGGGAAACATTATCAAATTGTGCAAAAGAAAACAATTATAGCGTACGTAATGTGGCATGGTAAATGCTATCACATTTTAATAATTTTAAGGTTTCTTTTATCGAAAAGTAATTCAATCAATTCCTCAACTGAAACAAAGCCAAATTAGGTCGACAGTGCATTTTGTTTAAGTATTATTTGGCTGGAGTATTTTATCTACCATCAAATGGACGTCGTGCTCGTCTTTCCCTATCATTAGACAATCATATTCACCTTTAAAAACATTTGAAGCATACAATTTAAGTTACTTACCATTAACACCGCCAGTCACTTGTTTCTCCTCAGTCGGATCGCAGGACCTCGTCACCATATAGTATGTCTGATCATTCGACTTCATAGCCACATACTCAAAGTAGCAACCGTCCAATGTATCATTACATGTCACCCACACTTTTCTATTGAAATCGTCTTTCTGTGCCACCAGAGACTCGTTATACGTCTGCCTGATCAAGGGGAAGTGGCACAGGTCACATCGTCCAGGGGTGGGGTTGTGGAAGCACTCGTCGCAGTCATTTGTCGTCATGCAGATGTCTGCGCAGAAATTATCCTGGTCATAGTATTGGGATCCGGGTCTGTCGGTAAAACAGACGCACTCGTCGCAGGGTCCGCAGACACCGTTGCCGGAACACTCGATCTGGTGGAGGGGGGTTTTTGGAACAATTTGTGTCTGGCATTATTTATGAGCATTAGGGGTTATTACAGTTGAAATTGCATTGTTTGAACTTTTACGAATTTTAGTATTATATTTCAAGTGATCTTTAAAAGTTTTACTTTTAAAGGCCTATGTTTAAAGTAGTGAAACAGGTCCTCAAATTTAAGTAATAAGGTAAGTCTACCTACATATATAATTTATTTGCAATTATCTATGAAGTATTTTATTTATTTTTTAACTAAACGTAACTACGTTACAAATTAGCAAATAACATTCTTAATGCTTCTTTTCTTGATCACAAATAAATGAACTTACATCGCTTCTGGCTGAATCCGTGCAAGGGACATCTCCGCGTTTCTTCTCACAAATTGGCGTTTCACAAAATGTACCAGACCTGAAATAACGTCGAAAACTTAGTATTGTCATTAGTTTATGTGAGTCGTATAAATTTACATATAAGATTTTAAACGGTTTAAGCCCGAAATGTATTAGTTATTTATAATTTAACTGAATAAAAACTTCTACAAAAAAAACAAGTTACTTTTATGATAGAGGAAACAGACAAATATGGGGTTCACTTTTGGTAGTCCTTTCGTCTTAGTTTGTATATTTTAGTTTTATATATTTTTTAATGCCGTTAAAAGTAATACAAGACAGTACATATGTACTTACTTAAAAGTACTAATTTGGCAATTAAAATACCGATGTTAAGTGAAGATATCATATATCATCACTTAACAATGTTCTTATTAAAAATGTATCTGCTAATCACTGTATTTCCTAGTCATGTGCTAATAGAGATAAATAATCAATCCTTTTACGCTAGATCTAGATCGAGATATGCCAAGTTCGATACTTTGATAGGGCACGTCTGCTCGCGAACAAATTGCTTAAAAGCCAGTATGCAAATTCTACTGGATTAACGTTCATTAAAAAGCAATGCTTCTAGTAATAGACGCATTTAGAATGACAAATTTATATTCGAGACAAGGCGAAATGTGTTTGCGTCCTATTCAGTGCGAAATAAACATATTCATTAGAAATACTGCGAAAGGAACGAAATACAGGAATTTTTATATTGAGTTAACAAAGATGAACGTAACATTAACTTTTCAAATATATAAACTTACAAGTGACGTTAGGAAACTTAATTTTCCAATTCCATTAACTAAAATATAATTTTAAAAAAAAGATTTCGAGAACAAATCTTAGTATTAAGTATTAGAATTTTGCAGATTTGCTTAGCTCTACCACAGTCATGACCTCTCAAAATTACAAATTTAAATATTAACTAAACTAATAAAAAATAAAGGCAAGAAGAAGCATTGTATTAGGTCTATATTAAACTGATTTTAAAATCTAGATTTCAGTCTCAAGACATATATAACCAGGTTAGGATTTCAGTACGTAAAAGTCATCTAACAGTATATGTAAAGAAACTGATTTATATGTAAGGATAGAAGGTCGAAAAGATAAAATTCTCAAAAACTTTCTCTCTGTCAATTTAATCACAAATTTCTTTTCGGTTACATCAAAACGATCTCCACGATACAAATGGGTCGTTTGATGTCATATCTCCAGATTAAACACAAGGAAGCCTCATTAGGTATGATGCGAGCATTTTTAATGATGCCGACATGAAAGTACGACTGTTCGGCCGATTAAAACTTCGCAGTTACAAGGGACAATCGTTCTTTTGTTCGAGTGCAATTCGAATTACTTACGGACGATACCAATGAACATATCAATGTAACGCAGTTGAATAATACCTCACTTTCAATTACAGAGGCGTTTTAAACATTACGTTATCGTTAGTGATGATTTTATTGAGATAAATCATTATTTATGTAAAACGAAATAAAATATGGTAAATTACCAATTAATTAACTGTGCTATTTAAATACTGTCTATAGTTTACGCGAGTAGTACACATTTAAATAAAACACTTTAACGGTTTAAAACGCGATATATTAGTTAAACTTATTTGAAAATGATTTTTAACTTCGCCCCGACGTTTTGAAGCCGTGGTCACGGGGAGACTAAAGATGGAGGTGTCTCTGACGTGCAAAGTAAAAAATTGCTACGCTCCCGCGCCATCTGTTCCGTGCGAAGTTGGCGAAACTGGGGGGCGGGTGCCTTGCAGAATTTACTAACGGTGTCTTCGCGTTTGCCGTCGGGCCGAAGTTAAAAATCATTTTCAAATACTATATCGCGTTTTAAAGTTAAAGTTATTTATATGTGTTATTTTTTTAACTACGCTATTTACTCTACGCTTTGGAATAGTGGTAGCAATGTATGGATAATAATTAACGTCGTGAGTTCGATTCTCACCAGGTTCAACATGTTACTAATGAATTGTTTATTTTTTCTGAATATTAAATGAATGGTAGGAATATCGGATCAGAAACCACTTTCCACAGATGTTGTGAAGTTCCGAATGTCCAACGTCAAAATAGATCGACAACGTTTCTTATTCGGATGTTAAAGATCTGAATTTTAATGGTATTTAACTAGTTATATTCATATATTATTGGCAGTAGGACTTTAATTATTTTCTACATTTTTTAAATTTAGAGACAATAAAGGGGCCTCCATTCAGTAGTTTTACTTTAGCTGATAACTCACCATCCTTTATCACAAGAACAGACACCGCACGAAAAGCTGCCTCTTCCATTACACCTTGGCGACTGCAACTCCACTTTACTGCTGCATCCACACGCACACGGTACGTGGAACTTCATAACCGCCTCCTCAGTTATATTCTGAACACTAAGCTTGACGTTGAAGTACTCAAACGTCTGCCCTTTGGCTGAACAGAAGTTGATCTCAGGTGACACATCCACTGTGGTCGTGCAAACACCATTTTCACATGACGTTGTCTTCTTAACGTGAAAGTCTGAGCTTTGTGTCGTGTTGACGACAAACTCCACCTACAAGAGATTAAGATTTTAAATCGGAATTTAAATTTCTGTGTAAATATTACTAAAATATTAAAATTCATCAATATGTTGTTTGGTTTCTCAGGGAGGCTATAAATATGCGTACGATGAAACAGCGTGTGAAAAATGGGGAAAATATTATATTTGGTTTTCGCGTACGCTACGAGAACGGTTCAATATTTCAAAAAAATATGTATGAAAGAATGATTCCTCTTTAAATGATCTAAAAACATGTCTCAGAAGTTATATGTCTTTATTTTAAGATTAACTTATAAGAACGACGGGACCCGAATGACTTCGTGAGAAGCAAGTTTAAGGTGAAGAGGCAAATTTGCTCAAAGTAACTATTCTTTGCGGACGAAGGCACACAGCTGACGCTCTAGTCAAACTCCAACACCAAATACAGTGCATTTTTGAATTTTCACCTTCCATCAAGATTAAAAAAAAAAAAAAATTGTCTTGCCAAAGATATGGATTACGGATAGAGAAACAAATTTTTACATTGGGCCGGTAGATTCTTTATCAGTCTATCAAATTATAGGAACAAGCAAACTTAAGAATAAAACAGTGGATTCCAGTTCAAGAAAAATCCATAGAAAATGATGAGAAACATATGATCTCATCATTATAATCCAATTATGGTGGTTGTCATTACTTGGTAATTATGTAGACAGTCATTTTAGTATTATAATAATTGTTATTATTATATTCTTATAATAATTATGACCTAATAGTAACCATGGTTACAGTGCACGCAGGAAAATTTAATATGTTGTTGTGTCGATTGTAATATGTTGTTTTGTCATAGTTCAAATGATTCCCTAACTCTTTCTCTTTCTATTTTTTTTTATTTAGAATAAACAAAAAATTATCCTTCCTCTTCGTGTAAAAATAAAATCCAAATTTTATTATGACAATACTTTGATGACTAAGCAGTTTAAATTCCCCGTTTGATATTCTAGCGGAAAATATTTTTAAAATTATCAATTTACCTTCGGATCGATTTCCTTAGATGAGTACTGTATTGATAGGCTCTCGTCCCTGCCAATCCTCACTGTGCTGACAGCATATTTCGGGGTAAAATGGCTGCCAGCTTCAGCGACCCTATTCTCTAGAGGTATCTTTTCCATTAGTCCGATACACCAGCCATCTGGCGGATCCAAACTGCATCTCTTACTCTAAAACAAAATCAATGAGAAATTAAAAATCTAGTTTTTTATTATAATAAAACAAATTGTGACATTTTGTAAGCTGACATCATTATTTGCTAAAGTACACAGGAAAGATACATTAGTTTAAATAAGAAACTTTAACGGTTTATATTACCTAAAATTATATCAATTACTGCCAGATGGTTTGCGTTTCGAACCGTTCAAGTATTTTATTTAAATGTGTACTACTCGCGTATACTTCAGACAGTATTCAAGATACATAGGTGTTAAAAATAATGACAAATATTTTTATGGTGGCGAGTTGTTTTTTTCTTTAGCTGCGGGAATTGTAAGAAAAAAACACGTTGAGTTGGACGTAAAAAAAAATAAATATCTTAGCGCACATAAAAGGTTAAAATGCAAGGTAATGAGCTAAATTCCACGTTTATGGTGAAGATGCTGTATATGGACTTACCGGTTACTTCTAGATATAAAACGGCATAATTGTCTGCTCGCGCGCAGATTGACACTACTAAAATTAAATACATTCCTAGCATTATTTTCCTGGAAGCGACAGTACGAGGGGATTGTGTTGAATTTTTATTTTTTATATTTGTAAGTATGACTCATGTTTATCTCTAAATAACAAACAAACACTTCAAACATCTGTCTATTAAACATATTAGTGAGTATTACATTCGCTTGTTGAATTTTTTTTTTACCGTTTAGTGTAAATGTGTACCTATAATATAACTTACTGGACCAAGCCGTTTTATTAGTTTCTTTTTTTAGTTTTTTTCATGTTTCGAACCCAGGAAGTCTCACAATATTTTTATTAGGTCGCATTAACAAATGAACTACGGTTAACAAAGCTAAGTAGAGCTGCATTGCATATCTAGATTTAGAATTTGAATTCGAAACTACGTAGCGAAACCCAATTATGTTAGCTTATTACATTGTTATGTTTGATCGATTGTAAGGATATAACGATTAAAATAAGTGCATAAACTAACCATTTATTAATGGTAATATTAGTGTTACTGGTAAATCTTGAAATCCGGCAATTGCTAAAAGTTTTGCAATAAAAATCAAACAACTTATATAATGATGTATTCATAGTTGACAAATGTGTATTCGTGACACATACTGTCTGTATTAAAATAAAGAAAGAGTCTTCGTTTTCTTTCTTTCGCACCTTTTTTAAGAAAAGAAAAATCAAAACAGTTGTTGGTTAAGAAAAAAAACTGTAAGTCATCGTCCAACTATTCTCAATAAACGCGAGTTAAAACTTACAAAATTTCATACAGACAGACAGACTGCCTTGTCAGTTCGTATTAACATCAGCATAGCGACATTAATCGTATTTACGAACGCAAATATATACAATAGTTCATATTAAATGCATGGTTTAATCCAATCGCTTTGTATATCTATGTTAACTTGTCAGTCGGCGCCGCTTAGCCGTAAACAAGTTGGGCACAGTTTTAATCTTAACAGTTGCTAAACTATCAATGTTTGTATCGTTTATTTCCGGTAATGAAATAAAATTTATCACTATAGAATTAAAATTGTTGTTTAAAGATAGGCATTAAGGTATTAGCAACGCAGTTTAATTTGGTACAAAATAATGTCGCTACTGTTACTATAGTAAACTATGGTAACGATTCTACACGACATGGAAAACACTTTCTAGCAATATATAGGATTAATGATGTTTATACTTAGTATTAGAAAGAGGAGTTTTTTAAAATATAATAACAGTTTTGATACACTAAATATGTGTACGAGTAGATAATAATACAAACCTTTAAAACCTTGTGGGTCTAATGTTAGCTATGTACCTATGGCTAATAAACAACAGGTCGTAGATTCGATCCCCACCATGTTTCCAATCAATTAATATTTTTTCTGAAACATGTTGGACTTCTGGAAATCTGGGTATTAAATGGGCGGTGAGAATATCGCAATGCCGTCCAGAAAAAAAAGGGGGGGGGGGGGGGGGGGGGGGGGGGGGGGGGGGGGGGGGGGGGGGGGGGGGGGGGGGGGGGGGGGGGGGGGGGGGGGGGGGGGGGGGGGGGGGGGGGGGGGGGGGGGGGGGGGGGGGGGGGGGGGGGGGGGGGGGGGGGGGGGGGGGGGGGGGGGGGGGGGGGGGGGAGGGAAAAAAAAAAGAAAGAAAAAAAAAAAAAAAAAGGAGAGGGCGAGGGGGGGGGGGGGGGGGGGGGGGGGGGGGGGGGGGGGGGGGAGAAAAAAAAAAAAAAAAAAAAAGGGGGGGGGGGGGGGGGGGGGGGGGGGGGGGGGGGGGGGGGAGGGGGGGGGGGGGGGGAAAAAAAAAAGGGGGAAAAAAAAGGGGGGGGGGGGGGGGGGGGGGGGGGGGGGGAGGGAGGGGGGGGGGAAGAAAAAAAAAAAAAAAAAAAAAAAGGGGGGGGGGGGGGGGGGGGGGGGGGGGGGGGGGGGGGGGGGGGGGGGGGGGGGGGGGGGGGGGGGGGGGGGGGGGGGAAGAAAAAAAAAAAAAAAGGGGGGGGGGGGGGGGGGGGGGGGGGGGGGGGGGGGGGGGGGGGGGGGGGGGGGGGGGGGGGGGGGGGGGGGGGGGGGGGGGGGGGGGGGGGGGGGGGGGGGGGGGGGGGGGGGGGGGGGGGGGGGGGGGGGGGAGGGGGGGGGGGGGGGGGGGGGGGGGGGCGGGGGGGGGGGGGGGGGGGGGGGGGGGGGGGGGGGGGGGGGGGGGGGGGGGGGGGGGGGGGGGGGGGGGGGGGGGGGGGGGGGGGGGGGGGGGGGGGGGGGGGGGGGGGGGGGGGGGGGGGGGGGGGGGGGGGGGGGGGGGGGGGGGGGAAAAAAAAAAAAACCCCTTTTTTTTTTTGCCGCAAAAAAAAAAGAAAGGAAAAGGGGGGGGGGGGGGGGGGAAAAAAGAAAAAAAAAAAAAAAGGGGGGGGGGGGGAAAAAAAAAAAAATTGGGGGGGGGGGGGGGGGGAAAAGGAGGGGGGGGGGGGGGGGGGGAAAAAAAGGGGGGGGGGGGGGGGCCCCAAAAATTTTTTTTGGGGGGGGGGGGGGGGGGGGGGGGGGGGAAAAAAAAAAAAAAAAAAAAAAAAAAAAAAGGGAGGGAGGGAAAAAACCCCCGGGGGGGGGGGGGGTTGGGGGGGGGGGGGGGGAAAAAAAAAAAATTAAAAAAAACCCCAAATTTTTAAAAAAAAAATTTTTGGGGGAGGGGGGTTTTTTTGGGGGGGGCGGCCCCCCCTGTTTTCCCGGGGGAGGGGGGGGGGGGGGGGTGGGGGGGGGGGGGGGGGGGGATTTTAAAAAAGGGGGAAACCCCGTGGGGCGTTTAAGGGAAACTTGATCGCGGCGTCACGGCAACTTGATCGAAACGTCATTGAATTAGTAGAATCGGCCTGCAGGTCACGAAACAGCGTCCATAGATGAAAAACAAACATGTAAATATCGTGTTTCCACCTTAAACCTTAATCTGTGGTGTGAAAAAAAGTAAAAGTGCGCTTAGGAATTCCAAATCGTATATTTTATCTTCATTCCCGACCTAACTATCGTTTGAATGGTTTTTATAATATAATTTATTCGCGTTATCTAACGAGGCCCTGGGTTGTAAGCCCCAGCCCGGCGAATAGTTTATTAACCATTTGTATAAAAGTATAGTACTAGCGGTATTCATAAATAGATGTCATCACTATCACTTATCTATTTCAAACAAAATATAATCATAGTGTGGACCGAAAAGTATGTTTGATAAATAAAAAATCCATTTTAGCTTGAAGACATGTTACGACAAAGGCAAACGGTGTCTACAGCGATCGTGGTGCTCTAACCAATTAAGCTACCGTGTCCTATACTCTCGGATGTAATTTCAACTTTAACATCGTGTCTTAAGTATAATAACATCGATTGTATAACATGTGAAAAAAAAAATTTAATAATTAATAAAAAAATCATTGTGGTGGATTGTTTATAGTGCACTAACCACAAAATTGCCAACATATTTCCATACACGCTTTCACGGTCAATGTATCGTCCTACATTAATCAGTAACGCAGGTGGCTCGGAACCGGTTGACTACTTAATCCTTCGACAAGCTAAACAAATCGCTATTAAACCGAGTACGATACCTACAGTAATTTTCTTTCATATTAAGTTAAAATGACTTTATATTTAGACCGCAGTGGTTGGATGTTGCTTAGCATTGAGTTAAACGCGATCGGTCCTGTGTTCGACTCCCTGATAACAATAGTTTCTGTCATGAGATAAAATACTTATTAGGAAATAAAAATGATCAGATGGGAGTCTAAAATGTATTTGGACTATGCCCCAGTATAAAACAAGGACGTAACGAGATTTAACACACACACTTTTAAATTACTATGTTGTAGCCTTGTTGCCAAAAACATGTTTAAATAAAACAGTTTTAACAGTTTGGAACGCGACAAATACCTATTAGTTAACTTCTTTACATTTTATTTTAACTATGGCCCGACGTGACGTTTTGCAGCAGCCGTAGTCCTGCGTCCCCCCGTAAATAAGTTACTTCTAATATTATGTATTAAATTGTAAGCCGTTAAAAAGTGTTTTATTTAAATTTGTACTGCTCGCGTAAACTACAGAGAATAATTAGTATTTGTATTTTTGTGGTTAATATGAAATATTAATTATAATATTAACATAATGTCCACTTTATATTTAATTATTTTTCACGCAAACTCTATAAACATTCAGTAAATGACAAAGATATCTTATCTGTATTAATAAGTTAAAGTAATAAAATTTTCCGGTAATAGTAGCAGTTTGGCTTACATAAAATGTTACTGTATCATGCATTATTTCCTTAAGTTTAATAGTATCTACGTCAAATACTCCATATTCAATATCTAACAAGAAAAGGTTTTTCTTCGAGTTGCGTCATTCGTTCTTCATTAGAGTTCATTGTGAATGAGGAATGACCGTTCATTCGTGACTCATCGAATGATTGATAGAATGATCTTTGACTGACCCGTTACCACGAAAATAGAAATAACGGAATTTCAGATTGCAAT